TGTGTGTGTGTGTGTGTGTGTGTGTGTGTGTGTGTGTGTGTGTGTGTGTGTGGAAGCTGATTTTCTTGATCTAATTATCTTAATTGGAATAAATGTCTGACTTCAGGGTGTTTGTTTTTCTCATTGGTGAATGGCAGGAGTTTGAGTTTCGTGTTTTTAACCACGTAAAACTTTAAAATGAACTTTGCTGTGATCTGAAAGTTTTCGTTTTTCAAAGACAGCAGTGACGATGTAAAGCGCCGTGCGTCCGCTCTGCAGCTTTCCTCGCCGTGTGTGACTGCTGACCAGCTTGCTTCGGTGCACCTATAACGTCATACGGACTGTTGGCCCTGTTTCTGTCGCTGGTACGATAGGCTTTGCACCTGCTTCATGACAAACAAAGAGTGTAAATACTGGGCGCTGATGTAACCAAATAGAGGAGATGAGCAGTTTTTTACTCTGAAGAAGCGCTGTGACCGTATCCAGTGATCGTTACGTGATTATTGCAGTCAAAAGAATTCCGATTATTGTTGATTTTAACTCTTTATCACGCTACGTTCTTTTTTTCCTCTAGAAAATAATTACATTTGAGTACAAGATGGTGAACTGAGCATAGATGTAGTTCACACAGGCCTCTGAGACGATCTTGTAAGATTTAGGACCGACTATGCTGACTGATCTCAGTGCAGCTACACATCAGCTGATGGCTAACCTGATCCCCTTCTGCAAGGCCAGAGGGAACGCTGTTTAAGATGACTTAAGCCTGCATTATACTCCATTGCAGACATGGACAGCCGGAGGCCTGACGGCTGAGTAATCATTCCTGTTAGTTATTTCACATCAGCTTGAAGTCCATCGCCCGGGAATCCTGTGTAGTTGGTGCATTGTAATGTTAATTGTCCACAATAATATACAAAGTTTACGACCCAGGTGCATCCTAGTGGAAATTATAAGCCCTGCCTCAGTCTGCAGGAAGTTTGTGTACATCTGCAAGCCCTTTCACAACCCACCTCCAACATAACCTCTGTTTTCATGCAGGATCCGACTTAAAAACAAATTTCTTTATGCTGGAAGCTGCTTTGTTTTGTGCTGCGTCTCCCTCCCTTTATTTGTAGTTGAGTCTTTTTGAAGAGCTGAACAGCAGGAAGAACTCTGGGTGTACAATAATATAAAACAAATAATATGAACAAATCAATATTTATTTATTATCTGACTGATCAATCTTCAAACTCATTTTCTGTTCTGTTGATTTCAGTCTCTTTCAGCTGATGGTGCAGCTTATTGCACGCTGATAAAGAGCAGTGATAAACTGGCTTGTTGACAGTTGGGATTAAATACGAGATAACCAACCGTAAACCAGGGACAGCAAAGATCGGGAGAAGGGCAAACAATTGTCGCTGTTTAGTTTTCTTCGGAAAATGTTGAGAAATCTTCTGCAGAACGTCTCTGAGACACATTCAGGATGTTTTTAAGGTAAATAAAAACCTCCTGTTCTCACAGACTTTGTTACTAACAGTGTTTTTATGGGAGCGACTTCTGTGAGCACTTTGCCGATGGCCTGCTGTTGTTGCTGCTCCTCTCTCCTTAATGACATCAAGGCTTTGCACTCTGTGTTTTACTGCACATGAAGCTGAAACACTATTTGGTCTCAGGGCCTTTGACCATTTTAATCCAGAACAGAGAGATGTGTCAACAAGTCAGACACAGGTGTGATCGCCATTTATGCAACTGTAAGACTGGAGACTATCCTCTCTGTTTTTCAGTTTGCAGCACTTTCTGATATTAATTGTTTAGCTGCAAAGGTGCTATTGGAATAAAGCTTACTCCACATTAGTAAGCTGTTTATATGATAGTGGCAGAAACGGAGCCATTAAAAGCACCTAGAGTTGCATCAGTGCTGAGTTAGTACAGGATAGAATCGGAGGTCAGGACAGGTGAAAGCACCGTCGCTGAATTCCCGGGACAGCTCGTCATCTCTGTGGCAAAAAGTTTAGAAATTTGTCACACTCATTGTGGACATTCCCCAGATTCTTGGCTCCGAGTTTCAGGTCTATGCCTTGAGTGCAATACAACCACCAAATCAGATTCCTTGGATGCCTCTGACATCTTTATCTGCATCAGCATCAGGCATATTAGATTTTCCACCATAATGAATTCAATAGAAACATTTTCCTTTTTGCAGGTTACAGTTTTTATTTTTGCAATGATACACAAAACTGGCACAAATTCTGGCTGAAACTCACAAAATGTATCAAATGAACCTGAGATTTGTTTAAAACCTTTGATGTCATTTTTGCCGCCGATTCCGACTGAAGCAGCAAGTTGTCTTATAATAGTCGTCTTATTAGCAACAGCACCGACGGTTTAATTAACTTTGTACTTGTTAGACGCTTCGGCCCGAGTGAACACCATCTGTACTCGATGAAGGCACGTGTTCCAGACACATTCGTTTCCTTTCTCGTTTCATGCTGTCGAACATAAACTGTGACGGGACTTTCCACCCAGTCCTCCTTATTGTGCGTGTAATGGTTTTGCTGGCACTAGAGTAAGTTTAGCTCTGTTTTTCCACAAGCGCGCAGGACGACCATAAATCATTTTAAGCTGCGTCCACCGATTGAAATCCAGCATACATGTATTTATAATTGTCATGTGCCACGAGGAAGCACGGTTACACGCTCCTTTCTCCAGTTTAATGACGGCCAGAGGAGGAATTTTGTTAATGTAGCACCTTCGTCAAGTTGCGCCACGTGTGCTTCGTCTCCGCCTCAGACTGAAGAAGAAGGTGTTGTGTCTGTGCTTACAGGTTTTGCTGTCGAATCTGTTTATTAGGGAAGGAAAACGAACTCTTTTAAACATCAAGAGGCACAAACGGGCCAAGAAACTGCCACAGAGCCGCTGTCCGGGGAAAATGTCATAACTGTAAAATGTAGCAAGTCAAAGAATCATAGAGGAGCAGCCTGACACCAGTGAGACTTTCAGGTCGAAGGAGATGGTTTGCTCAGCTCCGTACAGATGAAAACAGCCCAGAGTTTTGTTTTCTCAGCTGACAAAACTCAAGTTTAAAACCATGTAAAGTTTTAATGGTTACCGACACACAGGCTCAAAGTGTGTGTGATTGTACCTGTGTGGAGGTGAGCACTGAATCAGCATGTTGTTACTGTAAACACCTGCTGAATGTGTGTGTGTCTGTGTGTGTGTGTCCTGCCTTCATCCCCGGAGGAGCCCTTGGGCGTTTCCTCCAACTGTTGTTAATGAGTGTTTGTGTGGATTTTCTCTGTGTTTAACTTCCATCATCAGTCATAACCATAACCATTTGCAGCGTTTCATAAAAAATAAAAACAACTTTCAAAAGCAGGCACAAATAAAAATGCCCCAATTTAATTATAAAACATTTATTAGTTTTGATTGTTTTTGCTCCACCAGGTCAGTTTTTGGTCCTTTCTTTGAAGGAAGTTAATCGAAGTTGATGTTATTACACTTTGCCCTCTATAAGCTGGAGTTTTGCAATGTTAACAGAACAGATTCAGACTAAGCGGCCGTGAGTTCAGTTCACTGAAACCTGCATCTCTGAAAGAGAGCACCAGTGTAAATGATGCTGGTGCTCTTCACCCAACAAGCTTTTTTTATTTGTATTCTTGCAGAGATCCAAACATTGATGTTATCTTTATGCATCGATTGTTTTCATTTTGCTTTTACTACAACTGCTGCTGTCAGGCTTGTTGTGACACACACACACACACACACACACAGACGGTTAGCTTTTCCTTGAACATGTGGAAATAATCTGGCTTCAGATAATATTACCTTTTGTGATGAAAACGACAAACATGAATTTCATCAGAGGAGCATTCGGAGGATGTTTCCACGGTTGTTGGATGGATCGCACTGATGACTTTGATGACTCTGACTTCCCCTCTGCAGCATCATTGTGATAAAATGTTTCCAAAATATGTAATTTGTGACCGAATGACACTTCCGGCAGCTGAGTGGGCCGACTTCCTGTTGGCTCTTCTAGAATATTTGATTGGCGATTCATTTTGCAGCGTTTGAGATGATCAGAAAGCTTTTTGAATCAGTCAGCATCACGTGGATGTTGAACTAAACACATTTTTTTCTACTTTACAAAAGTTACCCAAAACTTGTGTCGCCTTTTCCTGGGAGTTGTTCTTCACTATTGATTGGCTAAAGCGAGGTTTTGAATGAGGCGAGTACGTTTTTAGTTTTGTGGGTTTTATGAGTTTCCATGAAAGTTCCTGCTTTCTTTTTGTTCTATGCATTTGTGCTTGTACTCTGAAACTCTTCTTTCTGTTTGAGAGAGAGAACAAAAATCTTTTTTTATTAGTCCCCAATGGTCACATGACAGAATTGTTTCTCTATCCTTCCTTTTTTTTTTCCCTCGTTCACTTCATGCTGTTCTACTCTACACTAAATATTCCATCTATTCCATATTTTAGTTTTTTATCTCCTTCCTCTCACGCGTCTGTTATCTTTAGCGTTGCAGTGTGGAAACAATAAAATCAACTGTTTCCTTTTTAGGTGCTGGATACACACACACACACACACACACACACACACACACACACACACACACACACACACACACACACACACACACGCTCAGTCTTCCTCTCTTCCCGTTTCTATTTTGTCAGTGTCATTATTTCCCTGCTCTCTCGCTCTCGTGTGTTTTTTTCCTGGTCTCTGTTTCTCTTCCATGTTTCCGTCTCTTCTATATCAGCCTCTTCTTTTGTCATGGCTCGGTGTCTCTCTCTCTCTCGCTCTCTCTCTCTCACACTGTATATGGTCATGCAGGCTCAGCCGGCTGTTTCTGCGCAAACTGACTTGCAGCACTCATCCTTTCACCGCAGGAAGGTGATTCAGCAGATCAAAGTTGTTCTCTGAGGCTGCGATTGAACGCGGAGCACGTTTGACTTTTGCTTTTCGTGAGCAAAAGTG